ATTTTATGAAAGCACATTTCAGCTCTTCAGCCTTGGAAAGCTTTTCATACCCTTTAATTTTCTAATAAAAAGGAATTACGTTTGCTGAAAAGCCAGTAACAAGATTCACTGTCATTGTCTTTTGTACAGACCATAATTCCTGGCTTGGGCTCCTGCCTGCAGCCCCGTTGTGTGGTCCTAGGTGTGGGTCCGGCACACTGGCAGGGGGGTGCGGGGGGCCACGGCCATGCCGGCAGCGGACAAGGGAGAGATATGCTGGTGGGAGCTTGCGGCAGGAGCCCGGGGATGATGGGGGTGAAGGTGAGCGCCGCGTTCATGGTGCCATGCACTGAATGTGGCTCCCTGAGAAAGCAGCGTCTTGTTTTGAGGCTCACCAAGGTGGTTCCCACTGGCTGTGTGTGCCAGCAAGCCATGCTGGGGTGACTCCAGCACAGCCAGACCCGCAGGGCCCTTCCCCAGCCCCTTCCAGGCTGGGAAGACATTTTGTGACCCCCATAGGATGGGGATTTGGGAGGGCGCGAAGGATGAGCGTTGCTTGCTGCAACCCATGTGACACAGGATCTGGCTCAGGCCCTGCTGCTGTGCTTCCCCCTGCACCATCCTGCCTGGTTTTATGTTGGTGAGTAGGGGGTGGGGGGGTTCCACATTCCCAGCAGCCCAATGGCGGGGAGGGGAGCTGCCAGTCCTCCCACCATCCCACCCGTCACATCGCCCACCGCAGGGTTTTAGTCGAGTGGGGAATTGGCTTTATCCTGGTGGGGAATCGGCACAGCGCCATCCAGCAGGGATGCCTCCTTTGAGCACAGGTAGCAAATCTGTGCGCGCGGGGAGGCAAATCTTCACCTCCTGCTCCTTGTGTCAGATGGGGTAAGGCTGAAGCAGGGACCTCATATCACCCAGCTGGGAACTGCTGGCACTTCCCAAGGGCTTGGATGCACCGGAGTGGCTGCTCCCCTCTCCGCCCCACACTGACTCCTCTCCAGGAGCACCAGCTCTCGCTGATGGCCTTGCTGGGACAACCCTCCCTGGCAGCAGCTGGCTGTGATGGGTGCAGGGGGGCTATCCTGGACCTGTCCCCCATGGGGAAAGCCATCCCCAAAACCTCAGGAACTCAGCAGCTGCTCACAGGGTGACAGGGAAGGGTGTCACAGGCTTCACCTTAGTGAAGGGCACACTGCTAGCATGGCTCTTGAACCAAAAACGAGGGAATGTAATTGCCTGGTCATTGGCCTTGTAACCGCGAGCTCAAGAGCAGTGCAAGGTCCTGACTAGATGGTGGCTGGAGGACAGCTTTCCTGGTCTTTGATGGGGCAGGTCACCGTTACACACGTGGCAGAGCAACCGGGTGTCTTTGCAAGCAGCCGAGGACAAGCCAATGTCCCCTGGCTCTGCGCTGACACTGCGGCCCCGGCCAGGCAGCCAGCACTTCCCAGTCACCCCCCACCCTGCCGGGCAGGATCCAGCGTGCAGACAGAAACCCTGGCTGTCCCGGGGCACCCCCGAGATCCCACTGACTGCGGGTCATGCCAGCAGGCAAAGCGTGCCAGGCTGCGGTGCTACGAGCAGCAGCGCTGCGGCTGGCACCGAGTGCCACCAGCTCCTCCCAGCTCCCCCCAAGCCCTTCACAGGCTCACTTGTTCCCCGCTTTCCTCTGAGGGTGCATCTCTCCGAGCGCTCGAGTGGCAGCTCTGCCTTTGCCGCGCGGGATCCCGGCCGGCTGCCACGTGGCACTGGAGCCACGATGCCGCAGCCGCCGGCACTCCGTCTCCCTCCGAGTTGCTCATTTGAAGTTTCAGCTCGCTGTCTGTTTTCGTGCAGGGTGGGGATGCAAAACCAGCTCACAAACACCAATAAATATCTTCTACATCCTCCCCCCCTCCAATTCTCGTTTTCATTCTTACTTCCCAGCTGGTTTTGGGGGGGAAACGGGTTTTCAAAGCTTTCCTTAAATGTGTGTAACAATAGGAAGCGTTGCCTTTTAGCCTGCGGCCGGCACAGTTTTAAATGAGGTCCCAGGTAGTCATGGTTACCTCTCCTCTTCAGTAAGAGATGACTTTTATTTCCTGCCTTTTGTATTTGCACATCTCAGATATACATTCTCCTAAACCATAATTGGTATTCACGGGTAGACGGGGACGCGAGAGCGAGCTGCCGCAAGAGGGGAAGAGCCAGATGGACGCAGGGGGTGTCAAGGTCTCCAAGCCCCCAAACATCAGGAAATCTTAATTTCAAGTCATTTTTCCTCCCCTGGCAAGGGCGGGCAGGCAGACCTGCCTCTCTGCAGCCTCAGGGCTTGTCCTGACCCCACCTCCCTCGCTGCGTCCCATTAGCCTGGATGCTGCCCTGGGATTTGGGATTCACCCTGCCCGTGAGCAGTGGTCCTACAAGCCTCTTCTTGTGGGGGGGCTCCCCGGCATCCCGCATCCCCTCCCAAGCATCCCGCGATCGTGCTGAGCTGGGAGGGTGGCAGAGGCGCTGCCCCTCCCGGCCCCAAGCAGGGTCCTGACCTCATGGACACTGGGGGCGGCCAACCCTGCACCCTTGGATTTCTGGAGGCGAGGAGGGGGGAAAGCGGAGTGGTGGGGCCGTACGCTCACAGCGGGCACGGCCCGGGGAGCGGGCGCGGGAGGGAGAAGCGCTCGGCGATGATTGATGAAAGATCATAGCCTCATTCCACAGGATCATTGCTCAGAGTGTGGGCAAAGCTGCGCGTCCCAGGGGGACCATCGCCGGGATGCGTACGAGCCTGTGTTTCAGGGCAGAGGGGATGGAAAGCCACGTATTTTATGCCTCTTTTTTTTTTTTTTTCCTCTCTCTCTCTAAAGCACCAGGAAAACAAAAACCCAAGCTGTCTAATCAGAGACAAGCAGATTCCACCCACTTCCTTGGAAAACTTGCATTTGCTAGGAAATCATCTAGCTGCATTTACAGCAAGCAGAGTGCCCCAGCGGTAGCTCGTGCCTTTCTGGCAGGATGATAACCAGCGCTGAACAATTATTGCGCTGGAGCGGGAGCAGCAGACATATTGGCTTTTCTCAGCCAGCAGGAAAGAATTTGCAAAACTAAGCAGGCGACTGGAGCAGCTCGGATTTGCAGCGCTGGATGCGCGGTGCCGGGGATTCGCAGCTCACCAGATTTGCTGGTGGCAGCATATCAGGGACTTGCACACCGCATGCACCTGGGCTCCTATTTACTTTTTTTTTTTTTTTTTTTGCAAGGGAAGGGCCCGGTTTTGCTGCTTGGAAAAATGCCTCCGGTTGCCAGCTCCCCCTGCAGACACTCAGCCCCCCCAAGGTGTGTGCTAGGGCAGTTGGGGAGAAGTTATTTGCTGCTTTATTATTTTTCCCCCCTCTAATGAGAAAAATGTGTTCTTGTCAAGGAGGTTGTCCTTAAAAAATACAGCGCTGGGAAGAAAGGCAGCTGGCTCCGTGACATTTACATCCACGGGGCCGCAGTAGATGTGCAGCACCCGGGAGCCTGTCCTGTGCCAGCCCCGCTGCCCGCAGCATCGCCGGGAGGAGCAGGGTCAGTGCCAGGGCTCCCGGGGAAGCTCCCCCTGGGGCATAACCCCAAATCCCTACTCAGGGCAAAGCTCCTTTGCTCCGTTGTAACTCCAGGTGGGGATGTATGGGATGGCTGACGTGACTCACATCCCACAGAGGTTTTTGGTCCTTCCCTGGGTAAAACTCCCCCTGATTGCAGGTCCTGTGTCCATGCTTGGCTGCTGCACAGGCTGGGCATGGGGGAAGCAAAGGAAACGCTTCTCTACAGCCTTGTTGGGTTGGGAGCCCTCTGCCCGCTCACAGCAATCCCCTTCCCAGATGGAGTGTTTCCAGATGGGATGTTCCAACGTGGAAAAGCGGCACGGTGGGGCTTCGGCGTGGATTCAAACCCTGTGCCCATCATGGGTGCTGCCTGGAGGGGACAGCAGGGCAGAGCCTGGCCTGGAGTACGCTGCCCGGCCCCGCTCTGGATGCAAACTGCACATCAGTTGCAACAGCAGCTGATGGAGACTCCAGTATATTAGCAGCATTAATTAAGTTACAAAAATTATGCATGTTATCAGTTATGAGACGACCTTTCATAAACTCAGTTATTAAAGCAATAAAGCATGACCCGCTGGTCCTAACCAGTTTAATGGCTGGCTAAGAGTGCGGTTTTCACATAATACTTTTAGCAGGTCATTAGCTGAGCAATAAGATAACATGGAGAGCGTAAGTGATGCGCGCGAATGGCAGCAGAGGCAGACACCTCGCTTGATGGGGGGACGTGGGGCTGGGGGTCACCTGTCCCCCCACACCACTTGCAGGGGTGTGCAGGGGCTCTGGTGGTGGCTGCAGCAGGTGACGGTGGTGTGGTGGGTGCTGCCAGGGCTGCTCCCAGTGCCGTGCTGAAATCCCAGTGTCGGGGGGGTAAATCCATTCCTGGGGTGCTGCGGGGCAGGTTTGGGGCTGGCGCTGGTCCCTCTGCAGTGCCGATATCACTGATCAGGCCTGTGCTGCAGGAGGGACGTGGGGTGTTGTGACATGGCCACCCTGGGGCTCTGCCGTAGGATGAGGGACCCTGACATTGCGCAGGGCTGGGGGAGGGATGGAGGGGCCTGGGTTCCCCCCGCATGGCCGGTCTTGGTGTATGGATGGTGCCAGTCCGGCGTATGGATGGCATTGGTCTGTCCAGGCTGAGACCCCGACTTGGGGGTGTGTGGGGTCTCCCTGCCATGTCCACCACAGCACCTGTGGGGACATGCCACCTGCCCAGGGCCTCCTGGAGGAAGCCACTGAGCCCTGGTGAGCCCTGGCTTTCAGGTCCTGGTCCCTCCACGTGCCATTGCCATCCCTGAGCGCATCCTGACTGGGTGTCAGTGCCCTCCCTCCCTGTGGCTACGCCACGATACCTGGACATGCCAAGAGCTGCACCGTGCCACCAGCACCCCCAAAGCGCCTTTCCCTGTCCCCGCCAACCGTTTCCAAGCACTGACCCTCTCCATAAACAAAGGAGAGGGAGAGGGAGGGTGGCTGGCATGTTAATATACTCTCCCCCCCTCTTTTCCTCCCTTCATCCCTCTGGGAAAGGCCTTTGCAGATATAAGCAAACCTTGATTAAAAGCTGCCTGACAGGCAACGGCAGCAGCAAGCAGCAGGCAAGGAAGCTCTCCAAGTCCAAAGGGAGCTGCTTCTGCTGCTGCCGCTGCTGCCTCCATTCTCAGATGTCCCTGATCCTTTAATCAATCACAGCCGCGGAAGAGAAGAGCAAACACCCGTGCCGGGGCAGAGGTATGTGCATGCATTCGTTCCAGCCGCAGCCAAGGCAGCAGGGCGGCCACACGCCTTCGGCTGGAGGCACGGAGCCGTCGCCAAGCTTGGAGCTGCTCTTTCAAGTCCCGGAGGCAGCAGGGGCTGTGTCCCCTCTGGTCGCTCCGATGTCCCCACGGGACCCGGCAATGGAGGATGGTACGCCACGGGGTGCAAGCAGTGGGATGGGTACAGGCAGCGGGATGGGTACAGGCAGCTTCTCACCTACATCTGCCCCCTCCCCAGGTGCAAAATGAGTCGCTGGAGGAGGAGGATGCTCCCAGCTCCCACCCGGCTCTGCCGTGCTGCTGCTCATGTGCCTGGGTAGCAGCGAGCAGGGAAAATGGGGTGTTGGCAGATGGGTACCCCCCCACACTAGGTAGCTGCTGGGATGGGGACAGCCACCGGGCACCAGCTAACACAGGGCTGGCCAAAACCCAGCCGTCCTTCGATGGCAAAGCATGGCTGGGCACGTGGTGCTGCACCTGCGGTTCCCGGCTCAGCAGCCCCAGGGACGGCCCTGGCAGGGAGCAGAGCCCCGTCCTGGGCTGCCAGGGGTGGGCGAGGGGTCTGCTCCAGCCCTGAACCACCGACGTGTGGAGAAACATCCCCCCCACCAGCATGATTTGTCACCAAGTCCTGTGTGCCTGTGTGTCACCACAGGGCTCGTCCCCTGGTGAGGCTGGAGGGTGGAGGGACGGGAAAAAACCACATCTTTTTAATAAAACCCAGCAAAATCCTCTCTTTCCTGCTGTGCTTCCCCAGCTCGTGTGTGGCAGCGGGGGCTCTGCCCGCAGGAGGCCGGCAGGGGCAGGCAGGGACTGCGATTTCCTTGCTTATTTTTTGCCGTTGCTTATTTTTAGCGCCGCGTCTTAATATATTGTGACAGTGCCCTGGGACGTACTGCGCCTCCGGTCGTATGAGAAGGTGTCTGGGGCAGAGCCGCTTGATGCCGCAAATGAGTTTCAGCCAATCGCCGGCGCGACGCTGGCTAACGAGGCACCCACCGCTAACGGGGGTCCCCGGGGAGGGGACCGAGGGGGGGAGCGGCAGGGCTGAACCAGTGCACTGAATTTGTTGGGGCTCTGCAGGGAGGGATTTGCTCTTGGGGGAGCTCCGGATTTTAAAGCCCTTTTATGTTTTTTTAATAAGGCAGTTCTGGTAATGAGGGGCTGATTGCTGGCAGCCGCGGCGGTGGCTCAGCCTGTGCCTGGCAGGAGCGATGTCTTTGGTCGGGGACATCCAGGGGTTTGGTGTTTTGAGCAGGGACCTCGTGGGTACCGTGAGCTGTGCTCACCTCAATCTCTCTATCTGGAGCTGCTTTTTGGGAAGGGTTGAAGGTTTCCACACCAAGACGTGCTATGCAGTTGTTTTTTTGGACCTGCAAGTGGTTTTTATCAGAGGCAGCTGACAGAGACATGGGGACATCGGGATGTTGCTGGGACAGGGGTGGCAGCCCACCAAGCTGGAGGTTGCCAGCACCGGCTCCACCGCGGGTGCAAATGCAGTGGGGACCCCGTGGCCGGGGCTGAGCGGGGTGCATCGTGGCGCTGGTTTTGGCAGCAGGCATCTGCATGCGGGCGCTGCCTGCCCCCAAGCCCATTAGTAACGGATCTTTGTGGAATAACCCTCCTCATTAAGGCGAGCTACCCCGTGCGTCAAAGCTGCTTTATAAAGAAATTATACTCGGCCCCGGCCAGACTGTGCATATGTAAATGGGGCGATGCACAAGCCTTGATTGAGACATCACAGGGCAGCTCAGCCCTGGGACCCCTGGGATTCCCCAACCCTGGCAGGAAGCGGGGGGCTCTGGAGGGGCTGGGGGGGTTCCAGTGGCGGGGGACAGGCCCCAGCCACCTCCCAGGGTCCAGCAGCCCCCCATGTCCACCCGAGGCCTTGGCAGGAGCCATAGAGCTGTTCAGGGCTGAGATGTCTCCAGGTCTTGGAGGCCCCAGCATCACGCCTCCAGCCTCCACGTCCTCCCTGCTTCCAGCCCTCCCAACAGCATTGTGATGTGGCTCCTGCCCTCTGCACCGCGGCACCTCTCTTGGTTTGGGGGAGCAGAGTGGGAACCCCCAATTCATCTGTCCAACCCCCCAGTTTTTTGAAGACGTTGCTGCATGCCCAGTGCTGGTAGTGGGAGTGTGGGGTCCCCCTCTGCTCCCTGCCTTGTGCCTGACCCAAAGCCCTGCTGAGCCGGGACTAAATCCTCCTGATCACACACATTGGGGTGTTCCAGGGTTTGGGAGAAGCTGGAACAAAGTGCCAGAGCTGAAGCCGTCCTGAGCATTGGGCAGCATTGGAGCCCATCAAGGGTCATTGAGGGACACCAGGGGACATTGAGGGACACCAAAGGACACCAAGGGACTCCGAGGTCCCTCATGCAGTGCCGGTGCCTGTGCTGGCTTCTGCTTTCCAGGAAGAACTCAGGCCAGGAACGGACACGGCAGCACCAGCCCCCCCCGGATCCGGCCGCAGCATCCCCACGTGCCGGGGCATCGGCGCCGCTTTGTGCAAACACGGCGGGAGCTCGGCGGGGAAATAAGACCCTTCTTTTTTTTGGCAGCGTGTTGCTAATCAGCACGACCCAGCGCGCACCGCCGCGGGCGCGCGGCTCGCTGCTATTTAAGGAGCCTACTTGAAATACACCTGCAAGAGGGGAGAGGAGCGCCAGCAAGTAAATAACCCAGCAACCCGCCGGAATAAAAACACCGGTGGGGGCGCGCGGGCAGAATGAGAAGAGATGCAGTGATTTAAGGAAAAAAAAAAGAAAAAAAAAGAGGAAAATGAAGTGATGAAGTGCAATCTGGCAATTGAGGGACTTGGTCCCAGTCGCACCATGGTTTTCCACAGGGATGGTCCCTAGTGCCAGTGCTTGGTGGGGAGACCCTGCCCTGATGGCCATGGTGGGGGGTCTCACCTGCATTCCTGGCGTGGGCAGGCAGATGGATGGAGCCTTCCCCTGCCTCCCCGCTTGGTGTGTTTACCACGCGCTGCCGTTCAGCTCCTGCCTTCTCCCCCCTCCCCTTCTCTCCTTTTCTGAAACATTATAAATCAAACAGCTTAAAATGTAAAGCATCAAAAATTCTAAAACCTTCATCTATTATTAACTGTGACAGTAAATTCCACCTCTGAATGTTTCACATAGCAACTGTTACCAGGACTCAGCATCCGAAGCTGATGTTCCAGCAACTTTCCATCACGGCACTGCTGCTCTGGTGATGCCGAGACCGGCCCGGTGAGACATGCTGCCACTCCCAACACCTTTCCATGGGATTGGGATGTCAGCAGAGAAATCCAGCTCGGATTTAGTCTGCATAGCCTGGCTGTGCTGCTGGGATAGGAAAGGAGCTCAGCACCTGCGTGTTGGGGTGCAGGAGCTGGTAGTGGGGGTCCCCCTTACCTCCATGATGGTCATGTAACTCCCCTCAAACTTCATTTCTTTCACCATCACGTTATGGAGCGCTGTAGATAATGAGAATGGGAACGCAATAGTTAAAATAAATGGATAGAGAGAGATTTTTGCAGGGGACGCTGTTTGCTTTTCTGCCACTGCTTTGCCCCGGTGCTGGCAGTAGTTGTCACCCCCACCCCAGCGCAGGCAGTGGCTCTCACTGCTCTGAGCATTGGTCTCATGAGCTCGTGGGTGCCCGTGGGGACCAGGATCTGGATGCTCACCATTGGTGCTTGTTCACTGTCCTTGCACGGCATCGCGGCTCCGCTTTGTTGTGCCCTATGCCCAGAGACCAGGATGGCTCAGGTGGAGCCACATTGGGTAGTTTGGGTTGGATTTGGCAGCGTGACAGAACCAGGAGCCTGATCGGAGGTGGGGAGAGCCCCGTGGGATGCTGAGAGTCCAGCCAGCGCACCAGCATTCCTGCTGCCAAGCCACGATCGTGGCGAGGCTCACACCGGCATCCCCAAGCACCCCAACCCCCCCAGCAGTGCCCACCAGACCATGCCTGGTGTCCCCACGCCCCGACACAGTCATCCCCGCTTTGCCATCATCCTGGCTGTGCCACCTTCCCACAGATCCCGGTGGCTGCCCTCGTGCTGCCGGGATCTCTGCCGT